TATATATATAAATAGTTTAAAATATTTTTATACAAACCTCTAATAAAATTCAACTATTTTACTATGTCACCATTATAATCATAATTTGACTAATAAAATAATTATAATTTGTAATTATTAAGAGTATTCGTAACCCAACATTTTTTTAAAGATTTTTAAATGAATCTAATCTATACACATCTTACTTATACATATCACCTATTTTTTGAATTTTACAATATAAGTAACTATTTTCTCTAATCTAACATTTTTTTTTTTACTTTTTACCTTAAAATAACTTATTTAATTCAACCACACTCAACTATTTCTCCTTTTCCCAAAACTTACAGAAACACAATAACACAATGTTTTGACTTGATTATGTGAGCCAACTCAAATACCCTTTTTCTTCACCCCTATATACCGAGAGAAATAAAGGTGAAATGGTCTTTTAGTGGATTTCTCCACCACAACTTCAAAGAATCTTCACACTATTCTTCATGTTTTCTACTATGTGAAAGAAAATATATAGCTGTTGTCTAAAGGATCCTTGGCTTCTCACAAAAAATAAAAAAAATAGTTGATAAAGAGTGTTGGTATCTTGGGATTCAAATTTGCAATGGTTGGTCTTTGTGTGTGTGTGTTTTTGTGTGTGTGCTAATTTAGTTGATAATTGAAAAAAAAAATATAGAGTGGAATTGTTAGATGTGCAATAGAGGTAAGTGAAATTGCTATGAAAAACTGAGTTGGGGGAGAAAAAAGAAAGAAAAAAAAACAATGTTATATATATATATATATATATATATGACCTATTCATATGATATCAATTTAACGGTTAGAATTTTTTTACTATAATAGATATCTATTAAAGACTTAAAGTAGTTTGTCCTAATTTTTCTCTTTAATAAGAAAAAGGAAATTATAAAATAGTCATTTCTTTTGATGGTGAGAGTATCCTATCTTTATCTCTTTTTTTTCTTCTCATTCTTCAGAATACATGTTACACTTATAGGCACACATTTATGAAAAAGGTGCCTTGAGTTAAAAATGTGTGGAATACATGATCGAGAAGTTGAGTTGTATTTTAAGAATTTTTTATATAAGAGATCTCATAAATACACTATCATCTTATCAAGCAGGCAATATTTTAAGAAAAGTTATTAAAACTTTATTACTTTATCTTTCATAAGAATGTTCAAGGTTTAAGCACAAATATTAAATATGAAAATTTTTAACAAGAAAGAGAAGATTGTTTTAAATCTTAAATTGGAATACAAATTTTCAGTTAAGAAATAATTCTTAATTTTTCAACACTTTGGTATATACAAGTTGTTCTTGAAAATTAGTCATTAAGTGCTTTCAACTTTTTATTGTCTTTTGTCTTCCAATGAGAAAAGTTGAATATTAGAGAATTATCTACTAATTTTTTTATGAACTAGTTAATTTCTTGAGATATAATAATTTGTTTATCTTACTTTTCTCATACACAACTTCCATTGTAAGTGTGTTTGATAAAATTAGCTTATAAATTGACTAAAAGTTTATAAGTTATAAATTAGAAGTTAAAAAATTTGGAAGCTTATAAACTAACTGATTGATTTAAAAATATTTTTTAAAATTAGTTAATAAACTAGTTGATTAATGTAAAATGATATATTTATTTATTTAATAATAAGGTGAGAGAGTGATATGTAAAAAAATGTCTTCTAAATTAAAAGGGGTAAACTAGATTTCAATTAAGATAATGAGAATAAAAAAAAACAAAAAAGCTAAGAGCTTATAAACTATAAGCTACTTTAATTAGTCTATGAGAATATGCTATAAGTTCCTAAAATAAGTTTGCATAGCAAATAAATTTATTTTGATCAACTAACTTATAAATCGGTTAAAAGAGTTTATAAATTCTTCAAATACCTTGTCAAACACACTCTACATGAAGTCTACTCAATTCTAGATGTAAAGACGCATAATATATTGATAGAAACATTATTAGAAGTCCTATAATAAACTCAATTGCAACTGCTTTTTTTTTTTTTTTTTCTTTCTAGATCTCTTCTTGCACAAGCCAAGCTCAAAGAAGAGATAAGAAGTTCTATAGAAAATGTAATCAATTCCATGACAAAGTCTTACCACAACTATCAATTTAACTATCTTCATAAGAATACCGGATTAACATGTTTAAAAGACTCAAAATCATCATACTACATAAAATATAAATATTTTTTTTATCAACTAAGTACACTATACCTTATTGAAATTTATTAGGCACATCTTTTCATAAAATTGACAATTTTCTACGGAGACTTTTTAGCACAATTTGCTAGTTATATATAAATATTAAGATGAGTTTAGTAACTAGAGATTATAATATAAAGGATATGACCTTAAATTTAAATTCTAGTGTCATCATTATAATTTAGATGAATAAAAAAAATATACTACATATTACCTATTGTTTGATAAGACTATTGTAATTCATCTTTTATCTAAGAAAAAATGTTTAGTTTTATATATTAAAATAAAACTCGATCAACTTATTTGTTAAATCAAAACATAATTAAGGGTACTTAATTATTCCTTCTCCAAACAATCACCCAACGTTGAATTATGACAACAACAACGCATATGATTTATGTAATCAAAGCATACTTATGAATAAACATAGTAAGACGAATAAATCTATGAAAAATATATTAAGGGATCGTTCCGATCAGATTGATCATACTTAATTACTTAAGATGTATAATATATTAAAAAAGAATTCACATGAAGACGATGAGCTTCAGTGCAAAGAGAAAAAAATCTTTAGACTTGAAATACTCTTCCTTCCCCAGGGCTCAGCTTGTGCTGCCAATGATGCATGGTTTGCACATGCTTCATCACTCCCCTTTTTGGCTACAGATTTTCGTGATAGATAAACACGCATCCAGTTATTGGAACGGGAACTCAACATATAAATAGTCGACGAAGCATGGTTGAAATTTGCGTTTGTTGATTTTGTCATATTACTACAAAATGTGTTTTTCTTACATTCTTTTGTAACTAGGCTCAATTCAAGATAATTTTGATCTGTAGTCGTCAGTCACGTAATACAGATCATAACACAAAAAAACAATTAAGAAAAGTAGTGTAGAAATTTTATGATTCATAACCTTATAAATTAGAGACAATTTAGAGATAATTACGCAAGAGAAAAGAGAGATGTAAAGGAGCTAAAAAGAGAACTTTAGTCATAATTAAAAATTGTTATTATAGATTATTAATCAGAAAGATGAACTCGCATATAGATTCCTTAATTAGAAAGATGAACTCACATATAGTACTACATGTGGCAAGATTGAACTTAAAAAATGAAGGAAAATAAGAGCAACGATAAATAAGAATTAACAAAGAACAAAAATAAATTTATAAAGAACAGAAGAGTGCAAACAAATAAAACACATTCACTTTTCAACTAACATTCTCATTGGTTGAAATTCTCAAATCGTATGAAAGCCACCAAATGAAAAAGGAAACCCACATATTTTAATGAAACTGACATAAATTTCACCCGATAAAAGTCAAACGGAATGTGCTGCTAACTTTTCCAAGAACGTGAGAATAGTATTTTAATGAGTAAGTTAATTCAAACATAGATATAAAACACAAAAGACAATAAACCAAAAGTGGACAATAACTTGCGTGCCAATTAAACAGTATGAAATTGCTAACTTGTTTTCATCACATTTTACTATTTAGAAATTATAATTATAATATATGATTAATAGATGATAAATAAATGGTGTTTGTGCTCTGGCTTTTAAGAGAGTTTGAGACTACTAAAATTTGAAGCGAAATTTCCATCGTTAAATCTTTTACATAAACTCATCCCCAGCACACAAACATACCCTGCCTGTAGCAAAACCATTCAAAAAAAAAAAAAAAAAAGATATATGGCCATAGGGCATGGAATGCGACTGAAACATCCTGGTCATGTGTTATTCCTTAAGCCTTCTTAACTTGGATCAGACTTGTCCAGAGCTGAAACCAAGTATATGATTAGTACAGACCGAATGATGTTATAAAATTTAAAAAAAAAAAAAAAATATATATATATATATATATAGAGGGAACAGAAATTACCGTTGTAATTCAGTAACTTCTCAATGAGATCAACGTGGGTCATAAGCATGCGCCTACAACAATATCGAACCAGTCCCAATGCATCCAGTGCATCTCTGCAATCCATCATTATCATAATACAACAATATTAAAACTAAAATTTTCTGTGAGGAAGACACTAAAATTCCAGTAAAGAATCAAGTATTCACAATAGTATACTATGCAATTAGGGAAGTGCAATATCATACGATACACTATTACTTTTTGATAAGTTATGCCAAATGCAAATACATTATTCATATATGATCTTTTTTTTATCTTGAAAATGATACAATGAGCTAGGTCTACATCAGTGATTATCGCTTAAAATGTGTTTAGTGTCATTACTATAGCCAATTTAATGGTTGAATATAAACATTAATATAGTTAAGACTTGGCAAGTTGGCATAATATAAAGATCCTGTAAGGGTTTTTAAACTACATTTAAATTCTTAATATATCCAATTCAATGGTTGAATACAGGTAAGACTTGAAAGATTACCACTTGAAAAGGGTTAAAAACTAGTTTTAAGTTAGAATAGTGGATTAAGCCTAACTCAACCCTACAAAACCGGCTTGTAAGGTGAGGGTTGCTTTCCACTTATATACTATTCAATTGCCTAATCTCTAGTCGATGTGGGACTTGGGTTTTTCCCAATACACCCCCTCACGTCCAGCACTATTGGGCTTGGTACGTGGATAAATGGTGGGTGGCCCTTTTTAATGATCTAGGATAGGCGGGACTTGGGTTTTTTCCCAATACACCCCCTCATGCCTATGGCACATGCATCAATGGTGGGTGGCCCATTTTTAAAGTGGATCTAAATGGCTCTGATACCATGTTAGAATAGTGGATTAAGCCTAACTCAACCCTACAAAACCGGCTTGTAAGGTGAGGGTTGCTTTCCACTTATATACTATTCAATTGCCTAATCTCTAGTCGATATGGGACTTGGGTTTTTCCCAATACTGTCTCTTGAAAAAAAAGTTTTAAACCAGTTTTGAAAAAACAAAACATTTTTAAAACTGGTTTTGTGTACAAAACTGATTCTGAACCAGTTTACAAAAAATCCACACCGGTTTTTTTGAAGAAAAAAAAGTGGCTTGTCTTAAAAGAAAACTGATGCATTTACAAGTTTGGTTTGTTTTTTCAAAAGGCAGAACCATGACCACTACCAAGGTTTTGAAGAACAGTATGTGACTGCAATTTTGAAGGCAATTTTTTTGGGTCTATATATAGCCACATTTGTATACAATTTCTGACAATATCAAAGATCGTGATGGAACCATGATCATGACCACAACTTAAAAGTTAAAACCCTGTCCACTCTTAAGGAACATGAGTTATCACACTGATTGAAATGTTCCAACAAGTGTATTTGCCGCTAAATCAGACATGTTACATGTATATAAATGCATATTGAACTGACAATAATAAGATAAAGGAAATCAATAAGAACTCCATTGCTCAAGTAATATATATAGTCACAAAAAATTAGTTATGATCTATGACCACAGAATAACAACTTAAAGATACAAGGCAGCTATGACAAGCAAATATGAGCTATCACACTCGTTTAGAAGTTCCAACAAGTGCATTTGCAGCCAAATCAGACAATTTACAGTATATAATTGCATGTTGAACTGACAATAAGACACAAATATTATGACTTATGAGTTATGACCACAGAGTAACAATTTCAGATACAACACAATTATAACAAGCAAATAGCATTTGAATAGATCAGGCATAAATACAAATTTATTTACCCTCCAAGCTTGAAAAGGAGAAAAAACTACAACTTACAGAACACCATGCACGTCCACAATATTTATCACAAAAGTGAAAACTTAGGGGAAAATACCAACAGTATACATTACACGTTCATACTTCACCTACAACCTCGACCAAGAGACTAATCATGCTACCACATAAGAAATCTTAAAAGTTATTTAACCAAAGCATACCAACCACAATTTAATTCAAAATAAAAGATTGTGACACACACACAGAGACAGATTTTGAGAAAATAACAAGTTGAACAACAACTTCAGATAGATTAATGTTGAAAAAAAAAAAAAAAGAGGAGTTAGGGTACCGACCCTTCACTATAATCTGCCTGCAGAAGGTCCAAATAGGCATCCCATTTGTTTCCAATGACCTAAATCGAAGAAAACGAGTCAAATTTAGCATTAATAAATAAAAAACCCTAAAACCGTAAACAAAGACCAAACTTACTTTATTTTTAATTATTTGACGAGATGGAGAGGGAAGAGAAAGAAACAGAGCATTCGGGTTGAGAAAATACCTTGCCACAGGTGAAACAGCGAACGGGGATGATCATCTTCCTCTAACGCTATATGTGTCCTCTTCTCTGCTCGGTGCGATAAAAAAAAGGTAAAAATTATTTTGAATTTTACGTACACATAATAGAGAATGAGAGGAAGAAGAAAGAGAAGGGAAGAGGAAGAAACGAACTCTGGTGTGCTTGCTTTGCAGTCTCTGATTCACGAACTGGGTATTTCGGATGAAGGATTTTGCTTTTCACAACTCTTTATTTCAGTCTTTCAGGGTTTCGTAACTAAATGGACTGTTTCATGAGCCCAGCCCACATAAAGCAGATTATTTTTAGGCCCGGTGATAAACACACCTTCACTCTCATATAAACACACCCCCTTTTTTAAAAAAATATATAAAATATCTAAATTACTCTTTAAAAAAAATGAAATTCTTAAATTTACACCTCCCTTCCCCCACCCTCCTTCCCCGCACCCCACACTCCACACCCCTCTTCTTCCCAAAACCTCTTTCCGCTCAATGTTATTAAGCAATATACTTTTACAGTCATTCTGAATAGAAAAAAAGGACTAGCCCCACCATAACCAGCATAAGAAAGGCTCTTTTACAGTCATTAGCATTTCGAAAAGTACTTTTACAGTCATTAGCATTCCGGAAAGTACTTTCCGGAATAGTAAAATTATTGTTCATATAATTCCGGAAAGAACTTTCCGTAATAGTAACTTTAATATTATGGAAAGTACTTTCCGGAATTATGTAACAAAACATTTCCGGAAAATACTTTCCGGAATAAGAATTTAATATTATGGAAAGTATTTTCCGGAACATTTTTATATAATTCCGGAAAGAACTTTCCGTAACAGTAAGAAGAAGAAGAAGAGGAGTGCCAGAAAGAGAAAGAAGAGGGGTGTGCGAGGTGCGGGAAAAAAAAAAAA